TGTTAGTCTCTAAGGTGCCACAAGTACTCCTGTTCTTCTTTTTGCGGATACAGACTAACACGGCTGTTACTCTGAAACCTGTCATACAAGTACTGTAGTGCAATCTCTTTGTCGTGAAAGTGCAATTTACAAATGTACACTTTTTTTGTTACATAATTGCACTCAAAAATAAAACAATGTAAAATTTTAGAGCCTACAAGTCCACTCAGTCCTACTGCTTGTTCGGCCAATCGCTTAGACAAGCAAGTTTGTTTACATTTACAGGAGATAATGCTGCACTCTTCTTATTTACGTCACCAGAAAATGAGAATAGGCATTTGCATGGCACTTTACTAGCTGGCATTGCAAGGTATTTACGTGCCACATATGCTAAACATTCGTATGCCACTTCATGCTTCAGTCACCATTCCAGAGGATGTGCTTCCATGCTGATGACGCTCGTTAATAAAATAATGCGTTAATTAAATTTGTGACTGAACTCCTTGGGGGAGAATTGTATGTCCCCTGCTCTGTTTTACCCACATGCTGCCATATATTTCATGTTCAAGCAGTCTCGAATGATGACCCAGCACATGTTGTTCATTTTAAGCTCACACTCACTGCAGATTTGATAAAACGCAAAGACGATACCAATGTGAAATTTTTAAAGATAGCTACAGCACTTGATGCAAGGTTTAAGAATCTAAAGTGCCTTCCAAAACTGAGAGGGACGAGGTGTGGAGCATGCTTTCGGAAGTCTTAAATGAGCAACACTCCGATGCGGAAACTACAGAACCCGAACCACCAAAAAAGAAAATCAACCTTCTGCATCTGACTCAGATAATGAAAATGAACATGCGTCGGTTGCACTGCTTTGGATTGTTATCGAGCAGAACCAGCAGTGCGAGTAGGCCGGCAACCTATTTATAGTCAGTACAGCGTACCCGAAAAAACACAGCAGCAGGAGAGGGCTGGGGGGCGGGGCTGGAGGTTCTGCTCCTTTCCCTGCTGGGAGGGGCAGCCGCGGGGAAAGGAGCAGAATGCCGGCAGCTCCTCTGGTGGCTCTACTGCTGGGCCCCACCTTCGCTCCCCCCCAGCCCTGTCTCTGGCGCAGCAGGAGGAGGACACGACCCCCCCCCCCGCTCCACTTAACATGGGATGGATGTGGGGAGGGGACAAGGAGAGCGTGGGGGCCCCGGGCAGGGAGGAGTCACATGGAGGATCACATGGGGAGGTCACATGCCCCCCTTAGCTGGTGCGTCTCCCCACTCTCCCCCCCCATACCGATAAGACATAGATTTTACTTGCACCACTGAGCAGAACACATCATCAGCATGGACGCATGTCCCCTGGAATGGTGGTTGAAGCATGAAGAGACATATGAATCTTTAGTGCATCTGGCATATAAATATCTTGTGATGCCGGCTACAACAGTGCCATGAGAACGCCTGATCTCACTTTCAGATGACAACATAAACAAGAAGTGGGCAGCATTATCTCCTGCACATGTAAACAAACTTGTTTGTCTGAGCGATTGACTGAACAAAAAGTAGGACTGAGTAGACTTGCAGGCTCTAAAATTTTACATTGTTTTATTTTTGAATGCAGTTTTTTTATACATAATTCCACATTTGTAAGTTTAAGTTCATGATAAAGAGATTGCACTGCAGTACTTGTATTAGGTAAATTGAAACATACTATTTCTTTTGTTTTTTTACAGTGCCAATACTTGTAATCAAATATAAAGTGAGCACTGTATGCTTTGTATTCTGTGTTGTAATTGAAATTAATATATTTGAAAAGACAGAAAACCAAAAATATTTAAATAAATGGTATTCTATTATTGTTTAACAGTGCAATTAATCACACGATTAATCACAATTAATTTTTTTAATCGCATGATTAATTATAATTAATTTTTTAATGACTTGACAGCCCTAGTCTCTTTATAATTCATGAACAATCCTGCCTTCTGATTCGGTTTCTTCTGGAACAGGTGACTTTTGATACAACCAAACATTTCAGCAAAGGAGCTATCAAAAAGAGAAGGCTGGAAAGACAAAAGCTGCAAGAGCTAGAGCAAGAAAGAAAAAGGGAAAAGAGAGAGAGGAAGAGGAGGCTGCAAGGTGAGAAACTTGTTTTGAATGAGTGTTCTACCTTTTTAAAATTTACGCTCGTGTCTTGCTCCCAACAAAATCTCAAGAGAGGAGCACCCAATACAATACCCCCAAACCTAGATAATGTTAAGGGTTAGATAATGTTAAACTGAAAGCTGAATATTGTCTAATTCATATGGTGTAACAAACAAACAAATAAAAAAAAGCACAATATCGTCAATTGTGTAGATGTCACATAAAGGGAACTAGATTAAGAGAGGAGCAGTAGACCTACGCAGTGTATAGAAAAAGGGGATTGTGATTGGAGAAGTGGTCTGGAGCTGTCTAGACATCTGCTGGATCCTCTCAATTAAAAACACAATGTGCCCTCGTTGCTCCCTCCCCTGTATCTCTCCTCTTACAGATCCAGGATTTGTTTTTCTTTCAATCACTCTAGTAATCTATCAAACTCCATTGAAAAGTTTGTTTTAAACTGCGTGAAGGCCTAAGGAGTCTTTTCTGCAGTGGAACTGTAGATCAGTAAATAGCTGAGACAAGATCAGCCCAGGAAGGTGACAAACCATCCTTCTGACCATGTTTCCAGTGGCTGAACATAGGGTTACAGAAATGTATTGACTGCTCAAAGATTAAAGGTAAATCTTAGATCAGTTGTATCACTCAAAGTGGTCCTCACCAGATCACTGATAATGTGTGCTGTAGTTGGAAAGGGCAGCAAAACAGCATGTTTTAACAGAGAGGGTAGCCTATGGTCAGTTTGGATATGTGCTTAATCATAGAATCCTAGACATGTAGGGCTGGAAGGGACCTGAGGAAACCTAGGAAGCCTGGTGGCTTGAGATCTTGTTTCTAGTATTATTTCATAATTGCTGTAACACCACAAAGTAATAATATGCAGCCTAGCTGTGTCCTGAAGTAAAATTAATATACAGTATAGAACACGTGACAGGATTCCACATGCCTCAGTGTTGACTGGAGAGTCCCAGTGCGTAAGCGATCCCCCATCATTGCTATCATCTTGAAGGCAGTGTTGTCAGATGTATCGGAACAACTATCACACTGTATTAAGTTCCTACTTCTATAGGGAGTGTTTAGGATCCACCCTATCTGCCACTGGACATTATTCTATGAATATATCCATTGATGTAGGAACGAGAGTCGAAATGCTAAATCTAGCAACTCTGATGCAATATCTCTAAATCTGTCACCAAACTTAATACCCGTATTATTTGAATTTTTCTTTAAAATATTTAATGGTTATACATTGACTTCTAGGAGAGTTTTGCCTGCATACGGAATGCAGGATTAGGTCCAAAAGTTTGTGAACCTTAGTTATTGGTGAAAATGAAGGAGAAGGGGGCAAATCATTCTCTAGCGGTGACCTGGAAGAGACTATAATATGAACAACCTGTATATTCTTTAGCGAGAGAGAGATTATTATTAGAAGAGTCTTAAGAGTACAAGAGAAACTCAAACTGTCCTAAATCTTTGCATCTATTGGATGTATGTTGGTTGTATGCCATTGACTTAAAACCTACCTAGGCACAAGGATGTCTTGTTTGTAACAGCAAATCGATTCCTAGCATCGAGTCACTTGCTGTTAGCACACTAAAATCCTACTTTTCACCCTCCAGGGGTTAACATGTAAAATGAGTGTCATCTAAATTGTCCCATATTAATAATTACCTAGAAAAAGACGTGATGATGAAAAAATTGCTCGAGAAAGAAAAAGGAAGGCTAAGCTCAAGAGGAGAGAACCCAGGCAGATAGATCGGGATGAGAAACGCCCAAGAAAGCAGCAGAAGGTAACAGCTGAAGAAGAGCAGAGGCCAGAGAATATGCCTGAATGGGAAGAGAGGAAATATCTACTAGCTCAGAGAAGAGTGGAGTCTATAAGGCTGCTTACAGTGCTGTTAAGCCGAGTAAAAGTAAGAATATTTTTTAAAAATATTCTGTTTTAAAGGATGTTTAGTAGAGCTTGAAACATTTACCAGATAGCTGATGGCCAGAGGCTGATGAGAAGAATGACTTGGAGTTGGGGAAATGCTAGCAAGGCCTAATAGCAACCCCCTAATGTTAATCTATCCCTTCTTCATAGAGTCATAGACTTTAAGGTGAGAAGGTACCATTATGATTGTCTAGTCTGACCTCCTGCACAACACAGGCCACAGAATCTCACTCACCCACTCCCGCAACAAACCCCTAACCTATGTCTGAGCCATTGAAGTCCTCAAATCGTGGTTTAAAGACTTCAAGGTGCAGAGAATCCTCCAGCAAGTGACCCGTGCCCCACGCTGCAGAGGAAGGTGAAAAAACCCCAGGGCCTCTGCCAATCTGCCCTGGAGGAAAATTCCTTCCCAACCCCAAATATGGCGATCAGCTAAACCCTGAGCATGTGGGCAAGACTCACCAGCCAGACACCCAGGAAAGAATTCTCTGTAGTAACTCAGATCCCACCCCATCCAACATCCCATCACAGGCCATTGGGCATATTTACCTGCTAATAATCAAAGATCAATTTATTGCCAAAATTAGGCCATCCCATTATACCATCCCCTCCATAAACTTATCAAGTTTAGTCTTGAAGCCAGATATGTCTTTTGCTCCCACTGCTCCCCTTGGAAAGCTGTTCCAGAACTTCACTCCTCTGATGGTTAGAAACCTTCGTCTAATTTCAAGTCTAAACTTCCTGCTGGCCAGTTTATATTCATTTGTTCTTGTGTCCACATTGGTATTGAGCTTAAATAATTCCTCTCCCTCCCTGGTATTTATCCCTTTGATATATTTATAGAGAGCAATCATATCTCTCCTCAGCCTTCTTTTGGTTAGGCTAAACAAGCCAAGCTCTTTGAGTCTCCTTTCATAAGACAGGTTTTCCAGTCCTCAGATCATCCTAGTAGCCCTTCTCTGTACCTGTTCCAGTTTGAATTCATCCTTCTTAAACATGGGAGACCAGAACTGCACACAGTATTCCAAATGAAGTCTCACCAGTGCCTTGTATAACGGTACTAACACCACCTTATCTCTACTGGAAATACCTCGCCTGATGCATCCCAAGACTGCATTAGCTTTTTTCACGGCCATATCACATTGGCGGCTCATAGTCATCCTGTGATCAACCAATACTCCGAGGTCCTTCTGCTCCTCTGTTACTTCCAACTGATGAGTCCCCAGCTTATAACAAAAATTCTTGTTAGTAATCCCTAAGTGCATGACCTTTCACTTTTCACTATTAAATTTCATCCTATTATTATTACTCCAGTTTACAAGGTCATCCAGATCTTCCTGTATGATATCCCAGTCCTTCTCTGTATTGGCAATATGTCCCAGCTTTGTATCATCCACAGACTTTATTAGCACACTCCCACTTTTTGTGCCAAGGTCAGTAATAAAAAGATTAAATAAGATTTGTCCCAAAACCGATCCCTGAGGAACTCCACTAGTAACCTCCCTCCAGCCTGACAGTTCACCTTTCATTATGACCCGTTGTAATCTCCCCTTTAACCAGTTCCTTATCCACCTTTCAATTTTCATATTGATCCCCATCTTTTCCAATTTAACTAATAATTCCTTGTGTGGAACTGTATCAAATGTATTACTGAAGTCGAGGTAAATTAGATCCACTGTGTTTCCTTTGTCTAAAAAATCTGTTACCTTCTCAAAGAAGGAGATTAGGTTGGTTTGGCACGATCTACTTTTTGTAAAACCTTGTTGTATTTTGTCCCAATTACCATTGACCTCAATGTCCTTAACTACTTTCTCCTTCACATTTTTTTCCAAGACCTTGCATACTACAGATGTCAAACTGACAGGCCTGTAGTTACCCGGGTCCGTTTTTTTCCCTTTCTTAAAAATAGGAACTATGTTAGCAGTTCTCCAGTCATACGGTATAACCCCGGAGTTTACAGATTCATTTGCATATGAACATAAGGGAAAAGGTGTTGAGATTCTGTCCCTGCTTGAGACTTCATCTTTTGTATCAGTCTCTGTCCAGTAGGTGTCTGGTAAATTGAATCAGTTCCCTGGTTCTCATTACCATGCTGAAAAGAAGAAGGGCTATTTCTATTATAATCCTGCCCCAGCATCCTGTGACATAGTCTCTGCTATTTTTGGGCCCTCTTGTCCCATAAATAGCTCCAGTTATTGCCTCTGCTGCTCAGAGCTCCCCAATAGCAGAGTAAAATTGATATGCATCCTGTAAGTTTCACTGCTGCTGAGGGAATACAGCATATCCAAAGTGAGGCTAATACACCTTTTGTCAGTTTCACTCTGCTGATGCTTTGGGAAAATCAGAGCAGGAGAGGCAGTACTGGAAGTGTTTGACTACATGCTCACTACGTTGATTTGCATTTGAAGGATTATCTTCTTAGCTACATGGACTAGAAACTTTTAAAAATTAAATCTTAAATACTGCAGTAATTAAGATAGGCGCCATCACTTGCCATGGAAAGCTTACTACTGGCCACTGGCAAGTGGATTTTTTCAACCCCTGATGTTTAATATTTCTTACAGTACTTAGGAATCCCCATCACAAGCACTTGCCAGAGACCACACCAGCCAATCTGTGTGAGTTAGTGCTCTTTAAAACTAACTGGCAGCAGAACATTTTAAATTTTGCAGAAGGTGGGGGTGTCTTAAACAAACCTTTTTTAAAGGGTGAGGAACTAGACAGAAAAGATTTGGAGAGAGATGTAGGGCCTTTTAATCCCTTGGTGTCATCACCTGTAAAGTTTAATATTAGTTATCATATTTGCAGCTGTTACAAAATAGAGTAATTTAAAGCAGTTTATCTAATAATTCTCAGATAAGATATTCAATTTACAAAAGTGCAGCACTTTACTTTAACAGAATTAGTGAAGTTAGTGCAGTGCTATAGTCCAGGGGTAGGCAACCTATGGCACGCGTGCCGAAGGTGGCATGCGAGCTGATTTTCAGTGGCACTCACACTGCCCGGGTTCTGGCCACCGGTCCGGAGGGCTCTGCATTTTAATTTAATTTTAAATGAAGCTTCTTAAACATTTTACAAACCTTATTTACTTTACATACAACAATAGTTTAGTTATATATTATAGACTTATAGCAAGAGACCTTCTAAAAACATTAAAACGTATTACTGGCACGCGAACCTTAAATTAGAGTGAATAAATTAAGACTTGGCACACCACTTCTGAAAGGTTGCCGGCCTCTGCTATAGTCTAAGTGGGTGACTAAAATGATTTTTGTAGTGGATGCAAATCAGGTAAAAGCAGCAAGGTTAGCTCAATATAGCCAATGACTTTTATTGAAAGGGCAAATATTCTAGCTAATTAAGGACCCAATCCTGTGACACGGTGAATACCCTCAACTTTCACAGGAGAGCTGCAGAACCTTGTATGATCATGGCCTGAATTAAATACAGTAGGTCAAATTCTGCCCTCATTTATACCTGACTTGAGCAAAGTTGCATTGCCTGTATGTTAGTTCACAATTTAGTTCGGTATAGTTTCTCTGTACAAATTTTGTCTGTTACATTCACATTGTAATTTTCTTGATTTTATTTGAAGGATTTTGCACAGTTGACCAGCCAAAAAGTGGAGCCCTTGCTGTACTCTGAAGAGATAAGAAAGGATTGCTTTCCTGAGACGGAGTTCCAAAATGCACAGACAGAGCAGAGAGAATCCCGTTATCTTCTACACAAAGAACTGAAGGATAAGAAAAAATTTAGCAGTCAGTTCTTCCAAACGGGTAACACCTCTTTTAGTGAGGAAGAGGTGCCAAGTAATCTACCTGCCTCACCTTGTCATCTTGTGAGAACGATCTTAAATGATCCAACTGCAGCAGCAAGCACTGGTAAATTAACTGGCAGGGATGAGTACAGCTCCCCTGGCTGTGGGTCTTTACAGATTACAGTTACTCAAGACTGCAAGGTTATAGAATCCCTTGAGAGAGAAGACTGTCCTCCTTTGAAGACAGTACACTCTGGAAAAGTGTCTGGTACAGGGTACTGCAAAAAGCAAAAGATTTATGAAACTGATGAGTTTATACATTATTTATTAAACTATTATCAAACTCCAAGCTACGCACGTGTCTGCCTAGAGCCAAAAAGCACCGTTAGCAAGTCTTGGTGGCAGAGGATAGTGTCTGATAATGGGAATGGCTTTCAGATCAACTTGAAGAACAAATATGGGGGACGCTTTACAGAAGTGAGTTTTGTACAAAACCCCGACAAGGGAAATTGTAGCGGGGATGATAATTATAGATGGGAGATCACGATTCGGAAATCTGAGCCTACAGAGAGTGTGTCAAAAAACAACGCCTATGCTGGAGGGTTTACAACAAAGTTCCAAGTACAGTGGAATGACTCACTTGATATTGCTAATTTACCATATGCTGAATTTAATAATTCTTCTTTTGGAGGCACTAATACTAGTCACGATAAAAAATCCAAAGACGACAATAACAGAAGAGAAGTTGCCCCACCATACACACCCTCAGGCTCTGCATACAAATTCAGGGATTTAATGGAAGAGATCAGTAGTGATTCTGAGTATTTTAGTGAGGCAAAGAGAACAGAAAGAAGATATAAAGATGTTTACAGTGATGGCAATAAAACATGGTCCCTTTCAAGAGAGATGGAGAGAAAATTCCTTGTCTGTGTTAAAAATGTAGGTCAAAATTATCCAGAAAATGAATCCAGCAAATGTAGCTTCTGTTCAAATTCTGCCCCTGGTGGCTTGACAAAGCAGGGTAGACATAAGCTTAAAACATCACACAAGAGATGCAGTAGTAAATTGAGTCACGAAGGGCAAAAAAGTGAGTGGAAATCCAATGAAGAGGCGATAAATACCCCCAAAAAGAAGAAAAAGAGAAAAAAGCCCTCCCCTGACATTTTACCTGATGAACATGGCTTCTCTGAAATGGAGAGTTGGAGACAGTTGGAATCTCTAAAAAAGATACAGAGAAAATGTAGCAAAATGTTCCACCATCAGATGAAATTCAAAACCCTTCATGTGATGGCAGCAGCATCAAAAGAGGCCATCCATGCTGATGCCTCTCTGCTCCAGAGATCTCGCCAAAGGGCCGGTGAGGTGGGGGAAGTGAAATAGAACCAAGACGACACTCCTCAGTTTGACAGGTTTAAGGATTCTGTGCAGAATTATGGTGACTGACACAATCACTCTGGCAGTCAAGCTCACCTAACGGTTGAAAGTAGTTTAGAAGGAAGAGACGCTGATTCCTCTGACCCCTAAAGGGCTTGACAGTCGTTTAGTGCAGCAGCACTCTTTGGGGTGGGAGACTGGACCACAGCACCACGCCTGGTCCCTGCAGGATGCCTGTTTGCATTTGGGTGGCTGGGAGAGTATGCTGTAGCTACACCCCTACGCAGCCAGGTTAGAAACGGCCTGGAGATACCACCTTTGTCTGGGTGCTGCTTCTCCTGGTGGCAGAAGCCACCGTCATTCTTATTTATCCTGACCTGGGAACCTAAGAAATCCTGCCACTGAAGTGGAGCAAGAAGAGGCTCCCAAGGACCTGGGCTAAGGTTTAAATTAATAAAAGGGGAGAGCAAGGGGAGACCAATCAGCTCCCCTCCTTCTCTGGTTGGCCAATGGATGAGAGCCTCTGGAGGAGGGGTCATCCTGCATTCCTCCAGCATCTGCTCCCCACTGCCTTCTGGGGCTGTCCCAATCACGGCCAGCAAGTTTCCACCTGTTGAGCTAGGTGAGTTGCAGTCTTCTCATGGCAGTGAAAGATTTGCAAAGAACGATGTAAAAGCTGAAAAGTAGAATCTTTGACCACCTAACTGGATGGCAATGTATCTCTCTCGAATACATGCACAATAGCAAATCTAGGCCTATCCTGTTATGCTTGTTAAGATTTATTGGGGATAAGTAGTGCACACTCACCAGCTCATCACATTTTGGAAGGAGAATATGTGCAATTCTGAAGATCAGTAAAATAATGTGGTGGCTAAAACTACAGTTCTAGAGACACATTACTGTGGAAAAATTAACTGAGAAAGAACACAGTGTACAGCACAGATGGGGATGAACATACTGTTTGAACTGACTGAGGCACTATACATTTGGCCTTCTGATCTCCCAACAGGAATGAAATAATTCTCCCCTTTGGCTTTCCCCTTTGAATCTTGATTCAGTCTATTATGCTTTAGCTACATGGCTGCATCACTCCAGCATCTTTTTCTGGGAAAATCTCCTTCAAATAACTTGTTTTTCCTCCTTATCTACAGGAGATGAGAGGAAATTAACACTGAGGAAAGAGATGGATGCAGATGTTGGAGGATGTCCTGTTGAGTTAATTTAGACAAATCCATGCTCTGATGCTGCCTGTGGAGCAGAACCCAAAAGAGAATGCTGAATAGTTGCTAGCTAATGGCAATGGGGTCTTGAAGCTGCTCACAAAAGTCCCCCCACCCCAAAAGGCCTTTTATATGGCTCTAAGAAGTGAACTGTAAGGTCAGGTCTTTAGTGCAGTGGTTCCCAAACTTGTTCCACCACTTGTGCAGGGAAAGCCCCTGGCGGTCCAGGCCGGTTTGTGTACCTGCCGCGTTCACAGGTTCGGCCGATTGTGGCTCCCATTGGCCCGGAGCAGCGAACCGCAGCCAGCCGAACCTGCGGATGCAGCAGATACACAAACTGGCCCGGACTGCCAGGAGCTTTCCCTGCCCAAGCGGCGGAACAAGTTTGGGAACCACTGCTTTAGTGATTATAGGCAGTCTAAAATAGTCTGTTTTGTTTAGACTCCTTTAATGCATGCTGGAGTGGTAGGACAGTGAAACAATCTAGTTAGTACAAGCTACAAAAATAGAATCTGTGTGGATTTGGCATTGATATGAAAAAAGACCAAAAAGTTACCCAAGTGCATGACACAAGCTATTGTGAACCAATTGCTGAGACTTTTGAAGCTTAATGGGTTGAAACCTCTGAGTGGCCACCCAGCTAAGTCCAGGGGAGCCATAAAACATTTGCATTCTGTTATCTAGTAATTATTATACAGTTGAATTGATTGTGCACAAAACCACTTATACATAGATGGGATAAATCTTTAAGTAATCATATATTCAGAGTGGCTCCTCAGTCATATTGTTAATATGATGGGATGCCAAGAGGGTGGGGTATGGCAACCTTGCAATTCAGTTGTCAGAAAAAAATAGAAAAAGGAAAAAAAGGTGAAAACTTGCAGTGAGTTTCTAAATTAGAGAAAACACACCCTAGTACATGTTAACCTTCTCCAAGCAGCTACAATGGGAAAGTTCCTCAGCATTCTGCTAAAATTCTAGGAATGAGCCAGAAAACTTGACATTTTCTTGGGCTGATCTAAATCATTACACTGCCACTAGATTTAGCATTCCTGAGATGGTGAGTGAGGATATTCCAAACAACGCTCTAAATGCTGAACAATGAAAGGGGATTATTTCAGCATGTTGACCATCAGCATGAAAGGTTACCTTCAATACAGGGTGAAAATTGCTTGCAGGATTTCTAAGATGGGCCTTTCTGGAGGCACAAGCACTGAGACAGCTACTTAGTTCAAGGTAGTTTACAGATAATTCCCAGAGAAGACTTCATTTTCAAAATGTTGCTAACTTTTATAAATCTCTGCTGCATGGAGACATAATGTGAAAATGCAGACTAGAAGCTTGGACTAATATCTACATTTATTCAGTTCTCTCTATTTAGAAGATAGCCACAGCTGCTCTTGGACAAAGTCCCTCATGAAGATGTAGATGGAAATGGAACAGATTCTGGTCTGAATTTAGACCAACATACTTACTGTTTCAGGTTTCATTTTAGTATGTTTTATTTATTACATGTCAAGATACTAAATGTGATGTAGCTCCCTTCATTACATAGCATATCATTCATGTTTGTAACCTCTGCTCTAATAAAGTAGTAGTAAAAATGTTTGCAGTTATCATTCATGTTATGTTGTGTTTCCCACCGCATCGTTCAATAATGGTGACTTCTACGGCCTTCTAAGCCAGGTTTTACCCCCGTCTATTCTTATTGTTAAAAACATGTTCATATGTTGAGTGCCTTTTTCAGGTTCCCAGTAATCAATGACAAATGGTTGCTACTCAAAGTACTGTTATGTATGACACCTTTTTGTTTGAAGACAGCTTCTTGCTGAGAATATTGTCTATATACTTTGGAAAACTTATGCCCCCTGTCTGTCTTGCTTTTTATATAGTTGTAATGAAGACCAACTATTGCAATTGTTTACCATGTAAATATCTCTGTTCCACTATGGTGGCATAAGTGTTTTTCCTTGATGCAATATTTACAGCCACAAAAAGCAAACTTTTCCCCCACTGATCCCGAAATGGCTATTTATGTGCATAGGCTTATGCACATTGCATTATATAATTCAGACACTTACAGGTAAGGAAGTGACTTTATCTAGAACTGGAACTAAATATTTCTGTAATTTTCTGATGGTTTTGCACCAGGCTGTCATCCCACTTAAAAGCAAATAAATATACTGATTCTTTACTTGCTTCTTGCACCACCTTGATTCATTTACAAACAAGCAAATCCTGAATTTGAAATTTTCAGTTTAGATAATAAAACACAAATAAAGTGAATAAAATGTAGTATGTGCACTTTAAAATGAAAAATGCCAATCTGATTGGTTTTACTTCATCATATTAAGATATGAAATAACTTGATATAATTTCAGCAAACTCTTTCCTTAGTAGTTTATAGATTGCATTCTTTAGATCCTTACCCCCTCCCCCCCTTTTTTTTATTAATTTCCTTACCTTTCTTCCCAGACACACACACTACCTGAGCCCCTGTAGTTCCATATTTTGGACTGTTCAGCATGATTTGTGTTTCAGAGGTCAATATTCATTTACATGGCTTTTGTAAAATAACTACAGAATTTTTTAAGAATTTGCTTGTAAACTTTAAAAAAAAAGTTTGTTGATGTTTTCTGGTTAAACTTGTATATTGATGTTGCTCAGGAATAAGATGTAATGTCTTAATTATGAAAGTTAAAGAATAAAATGTATTTTTATTTGATGTAAATCTCTTAAATGTTAATGTATAATATATTAAACTATGAAAAGTAACTTTCAGGTGGCTAATGATCAGGCATGCACTACAGTTGCTTACATAATTCCATTTAATTCCATTAGTTATTTGTATTGCATTGGCACCTATCTATGCTAGGACCCCAATCTGTTAGGCGCTGTATAAACACAGAACAAAAAGATGGTCCCTGTCCCCAAAGAGCTTACAACCTCAGTAAGATACTTGCATGAAATGGTTAGAATACTTGTACTTCTGTTATAAAACGGGCATTAAGGACTAGATGCTGAGGGGTTGCCACTCACCATTGGAGTCAGGTGGAGTTTCCGCTATTCAGCACTTCCCTAAGCTGCCTAAAATGTGTTAGCTAGGTCATAACCCAGTTTTAGGCTAATACACCATGTTACACAGTAACTGGCTAGTGGGTTGTGCCTCAGGTGTGCTTAAGGTCAGATCCTGAAGGGTAAATTCAGTGGATATTGTAGATGATCAGGCCCTTTTTAGAAGTGGAAATGAACCAAGCCCATTACATACTTGCCCAACTTGCTTTGAAATAAAGCTAGTCACGTACCAAAACAACCAAATGTGTTTGGTACATAAATAATGTGATTTGGGATAGGGAGTTCAATAAACCCGAAGGACAAAAATGCTTAGTGTGATTCTGCCACACACCTGCAAAGCTGTGACTGGAGCACTCAGGGACCAAGCAGACAGCTGCTCTCCACCTGTTTTGTAACCTCTTTGCAACAAGGAGCACTCAACTCCTCAGCTGGAGAGCTTCTGTTCAGCTACAGGATAGGTGAGGAGGAGTGAGAGAACCTGTCTTCTGCAAACCCTCTCTTGGATGGCTCTACTTGAATTATCAGTTTAAATTTCCAGCAGTTGCTGCATATTATGGTACAGCAAGGCAGCAGGTGAATAAACGAGACAATTAAAATGGGTTTTTAAAATGCATTTGGGTGGGTGAGGTAATATTTTTTATTGGATCAACTTTTGTTGGAGAGAGAGAGAGACAAGCTTTTGAGCTTACACAGAGCTCTTCTTCATGTCTGGGAAACTAGTGCAGAGTGTCACTGCTAAATCTGTTCCACCTTGTATTTACCTGGAGACAATTAGTTTCCTAGCCCTGAAGAAGAGCTCTGTGGAAACTCAAAAGCTTGTCACTCTCACCAACAGAAGTTGATCCAGCAGAAGATATTGTCTCACCTAGCTTGTCTGTCTACTGTCCTAGGACTGACAAAGCTACAACACACCCCTGTGTATTTTAAAACCAAGAAATATGATCTAAGAATAGTGTTATTTTTATTGCATTTCTGCTCTGCTTGAGGAGACATTTCCTTTTAACTTTTGTACTAGCTCTGATATGATGTAACCTGGTTCAAAGATAAGTGAATCCATAGAGAGAGAATTTAACCTTTACCTTCATTTTTCCAGGTAAAGTGATCATGTCCCCCTTGTGAGGCGTAGCCTAGGTATTGAACAAAAATGCAAAAGAAAGGAGGACTAGAGGTGTGAAAAAGCACCAAGGCTCCACTTGTTTGAAAAAGGGAAAACTTAGTCATATCTAGGAAGTAAGGTTAACAATGGCTGTGGCATTTGTTCTCATTTAGCACCCCTTTACAAGCCAAAACTTTACATAAATTTCCCCACTTGTATCTAAATGACTAATGTAAGAATGACTGGCAAGATTTCTTTATCAATGATTTAACAGCCAGGGCCGGCTTTAGGCCAATTCCACAAATTCCCCCGAATCGGGCCCCGCGCTTAAGAGGGCCCCGTGCCCAGTGGCAGGGTCGC